GTTAAGAACTTTTCGAGTAATAACACTTGAAATTTCCAGCACTTTGACATAGAATACAAAATATCTCGTAAAATATTCTTCTTTCGGTTATCTTGTCTTAATGATTTTTTGCACAGAATAATGAGACAAATTAATTAGCTTAAAAAAAAAAAAACAAAAAATTTTTTACATAAATATATAAAAATCTTTTTGTGCTTTTTTTAAGCCAATTAATTTGTTGAAGTGCTTTGTTGGCAGCCTCTGAGACTCCCTTACGAATCGCTCGTAAATCGTTGACGTTACGCCGAAGTTTGCTCGCAGCGGAGCGTGGGATATTTAGGAACGCGAATTGCACACGGCGGGGGTGGTGACGGGACCTTGTGTGTATATATATGTACGTATGTATATAGGGTGTCCGGTAATTCACATCAGAGCCGCGGTATACTGATAGATTAGATCAAAATGAGCAAAAAGTTTATCATTTTGCGAAGAACCATACTCTAAGATTAGGTAAAATTGAAGAAAATGTTCTCTATCATTTTGTAAATAGTAGATTTTTAATTAAAGGACATTGGTATATTATAGGGAAGAAAAGGTAGAGGCGCGATTATCTGCCATCCTTCTTTAATGAATAACTCAAAACTCAACGTATCCTTTGCAAAATAGCAGAAAATCTTTTTCAGTCTGACTTGATCTACAAACGACGACAGGCGTCGCTATCATTACTCTCATCTGCTATGGCACATTATCGTTCGCCAATGTTCTTTAATTAAATTACTCAAAATTTAACGTGGTTCTTCGAAAGATGATAGAGGAGTTTTTTGTTCATTTTGACGTAATCTATCTGTACACACTGCGACTCCGAGTTACCTTCCGAGAGACACTCTATATAAAGAGAGGGAGAAGCGGGTTCATACGCCATTCCGATATTCGTCAGGCGCGACACATCGGCAAGTAACATTCGAACGAAACTTCGAGTTACTGTTTTGTTTAGACCTGTAATCGAACAACGATGTTATTTGGGACTTAACCACTCGCTTGCGAGCCTCTTCTGCCCCTCCCCCCCCCCCCC